GGGGTGCAGATCGGAGATGGATCCTGCTCTCTGAAACGCCAAGTGAAGAGGTCACGTTACAGATTCCAGCTTCTTCTATGCCAACTTTAAGGTAAACAAACCTTTCACCTCATCTTTGTTAAAAATAGATCTTTCAGGACAGGGAAGAAAATGTCACCATATCCATCACCTTCACAAAGGCATCATTTCCTTTTGGATGATGCCAAGTCTTTTCCCCCAAGCCATGGACAGAATTAATGGGTTTATGTTGTAAAGCATTTTGGTGATGGAAAACTCTCAGTGATAAGAATGAGAACATTGCTGAGGACTTTCCATCTTCAGTGCTGAGTAACGTTACTGATACTTTACCACATGCAATTCTGGGTTTTAAATTAATGGAGATATCCCATCTCCTAGAACTGGAAGGGACCTTGAAAGGTCATTGAGTCCAGCCCCCTGCCTTCACTAGCAGGACCAAGTACTGATTTTGCCCCAGATCCCTAAGTGGCCCCCTCAAGGATTGAACTCACAACCCTGGATTTAGCGGGCCAATGCTCAAACCACTGAGCTATCCCTCCCCCCTGTTTGTACAGCTCCGAGCGCAATGTGTCTTGGTCCATGACTAGGTCTCCTAGGGACCATTGCAACATTAATAATCAATAATAATCTCCATCAAGAATTGAGTCTTATAATAATTCACGTAATCATTAATATAGTGTTGTGACTGTTACTGTTGAGGAAAATAGCTGTTTGTCTGTGCAATAAGTGCTTTGTATGTGAATGAAGTTTCTGAATGTATGGCTAATATCTCAGAAGTGAATCTGGAATTAGATAAAACACAGAGAGAACTCTTAATCAGGAACATGTTTCTCTAGATCAGTTTAAAGTTGATGGTCAGGTTAAAGCCCTAATTGAGGAAGAAAAGGGTAGATTTTTTTATAGGTAATGGATTGTTGGCAAGTGAAGCTTGTGAAAGTGAGCCTGAACAAGGTAGAAGTGATTTGCTTAAAGCTGCTGAGTACAATGAGACACTATCTGTGGAGAGTAGCAGTTTATCTTTTGGGAGTGACAACTTGCCTGTTAAGAACTTTCCAAGTATATGTCTGAAATCAGCCATGGGTGCTGGGACAAAGGAAAGGATACCTCCAATTGTTTTTCTGTTAAGAATAGCTGTGTATCTGCTGTAAAAGTGTCTGTGTGTATGTCTAGCTCAGACATGGGCAAACTACGGCCCGCGGGACACATCCGGCCCATGAGACCATCCTGCCTGGTCCCCGAGCTCCCAGCTGGGGAGGCTAGCCCCTGGCCCCTCTCCAGCTTTCCCCCCTCCCCTGCAGCCTCACCTTGCCATGCCGCGGGAGCACGCTGGGCAGGAGAGCGGGGAGGGAGGCTCACCGGCAGCCTCCGGGGAGCAGGCGGGCAGTGCGGGTGGCGGGAGCGCGGCAAAAGTGGGCAGAGGACTCAGGAGGACACCGGGCGGCCGCGCAGCAGGCCAGAGAGAAGCGATGCTTTGAAGGGGAAACCACCACTTCTCTCCGGCTGCGCGGCTGCCCCTGCTCTTCCTGAGTCCTCCGTCCGCGTTCGCCAGGACACATTCGGAAGGGGGCTGGGAGCGGTGGGGTCCCAGGGGGCCAGTTAGGGGCAGGGTGTCCAGGGAGGGGCGGTCAGGGGACAAGGAGCAGGGGGGTTGGATAGGGGGTGGGGTCCCAGAGGCCTGGCTGGGGGCAGGGATGTGGATAGGGGTCGGGGCAGTCCGGGGTCAGGGAGCGGGGGGGTTGGATAGGAGGTGGGGTCTCTGGGGCCTGTAAGGGGGCGGGGGTGTGGATAGGGGTCAGGGCAGTCAGGGGACAGGAAGCAGGAGGGGTTGGATAGGATGTGGGGTCCCGGGGGGGCAGTTAAGGGACAAGGAGCGGGGGGGTTGGATAGGGGGTGTTGGGGTTCCAGGGGGGCGGTTAGGGGCAGGGGTCCCAGGAGGGGGCTGTTAGGGGACAAGGAGCGGGGGAGTTGGATGGGTTGGGGGTTCTGAGGGGGGCAGTCAGGGAGCGGGAAGTTGGAGCGGCCAGATAGAGGGCAGGAACAGGCTGTTTTGGGGGCACAGCCTTCCCTACCCAGCCCTCTAGACAGTTTTGGAACCCCAATGTGGCCCTCGGGCCAAAACGTTTGCTCACCCCTGGTCTAGCTCTTTGTCTGAGGAGCAGACATACAGTGCTTCTCAGTTTATGCTACTTAGTTGTACCAGAGTTGGTTCTGGATTTAAAAAAAAAGCCCAGGAAGGAAATGTTGCTATGTTTGTGTCTGCTGGGGAGAATGGTATTGTAACTAGGTTGCATCCAGTTAGTTTCATAGCAAAGTCACAGGGACCCGGTGATTCTGGTGCTTCTATTTTGTCTGTTGCTAGTGTGTTGCTGAATAAAAGTATGACAACTCTGTTTAACCAAAAAAAGAACAGGAGTACTTGTGGCACCTTAGAGACTAACACATTTATTAGAGCATAAGCTTTCGTGGACTACAGCCCACTTCTTCGGATATATATAGAATGGAACATATATTGAGGAGATATATACACACACATACAGAGAGCATGAACGGTTGGGAGTTGTCTTACCAACTCTGAGAGGCCAATTAAGTAAGAGGGGAAAAAAAACTTTTGAAGTGATAATCAAGATAGCCCAGTACAGACAGTTTGATAAGAAGTGTGAGAATACTTACAAGGGGAGATAGATTCAATGTTTGTAATGGCTCAGCCATTCCCAGTCCTTATTCAATCCTAAATTGATTGATTGTATCTAGTTTGCATATCAGGATATTTTGTTGAACCTGCAGTCTGCTCAGATATGAAATGTGCCCCAGGGATCACTAGATGTCATTTCCCCTCCCCTGGCCTCCATTTTCCACTCACCCATCATTCCAGTAGCCAGCATAGGGGGACAATGAAAAAAAAAGGTTACGTTTTATTGAGTGAATGTTCTTCATTTTGTGGCAGATTTCATTTCTTTCCCATAGACACCCCATGGCGAACCCAGAGCAGGGAAACCAAACGTCCATCACAGAATTCATCCTCCTGGGATTCGGGGATCTCCAGGAACTGCAGAGCCTTCTATTCCTGCTGTTCCTAGTGATCTACATTGTGACTGTGGTAGGGAACATCCTTATCGTTGCACTAGTTGTAACTGATCATCACCTTCACACCCCCATGTACTTCTTCTTGGGAAACTTGTCCTGCTTGGAGACCTGCTACAGCTCCACCATCCTGCCCAGGATGCTGGCTGGTCCCCTGATTGGGGACAGAACTATTTCATTCAATGGGTGTCTCACACAATTTTATTTCATTGGTTGTCTGATTGCTACAGAATGCCTTCTCCTCTCTGTGATGTCTTATGATCGATATTTAGCCATATGCAATCCAATGCATTATGCAACCCGTATGAGTCACAGGTCTTACCTGAAGCTCGCAGGTGGCTGTTGGATAGGTGGCTTCATGGGTAATAGCATAAATATGTTCTCGCTATCTCAGTTAACATTCTGTGGCCCCAATGGAATTGACCATTTTTTTTGTGACCTCATCCCCCTTGTAAAACTCTCCTGCAATGACCCTCACCTTATGGAAACGTTGGTTTTCACACTCATCTTGCTTTTCTCACTGGTCCCATTCCTACTTACCCTGATGTCCTACATCTGCATCATTGCCACCATCCTGAGAATCCCGTCCACCACAGGGAGGCAAAAGGCCTTTTCCACCTGCTCCTCCCACCTCATTGTGGTGAGCATTTATTATGGAACTCTGCTGATTGTCTATATGTTCCCAACCACCGACATCCTGAGCAACTTCAAGAAAGTTCTCTCTGTCGTCTACACAGTCCTGACTCCCCTGGTCAATCCCCTCATCTACAGCCTGAGAAACAAAATGGTTCAGGAGGCCCTGAGGAAAGCTTGCAGGAAAATCATGTTTGGACCATGCTAACCGATCAATTTCCTTGTGTTAAAATAGATATAAAATGGGTTAGGGTAGAGACTGAACCAAAGCCTGCTGTAGTCCCAGGTCGTGTTTCCCTGAGTTTCATTGGTCTTCATGTCCTGCTCTTACCGAGTCACAGCTGTGAGAGAAAGTGGAAATGGGGAGACCTCTTAAAACCTGTGACGCAGCCTTTTTATGACCTACATAAGATGCCACAGGTGGGTACTACTGTGCTGGTGGGAGACTTGAACTTGTGGCTGCTCAAAGTTCAGAAAATGAGGGGAGATTGTGCTCAGTGAGAGGGTGCAGGTGAAATGGAACACTGGGCATCTATGCCGGGTAGGGTGAGACACTTCTAGATATACGCACACCATTAAACAAATAAGATGCCTGCATTCTAAAAATATAGGTTACAATGTCGGCATGGAACTCCAACGTTAGAAAATTGAATATTTAACTTTTGTTTCTTAGAGTGTATTTCATCCCCAGGCTCCCTTCAAAGGAAGAGAAAAGCCAAAGGAAACCCTCTAACCTGTGCCCCAGAACACAGGAAACCAGCACAGGTCTCGTATTTGCCCAGTTTTCATCAAAGATTTGGGGCCAGTTGTTTCCAGATAACTGGGGCCCAGTGGAATTCTCCTGGCCTGTGGGATGGGGCTTTGCAGGCGAATCAGGCAGGGGCCGCTCACCTTCCCCAGGTTTGCACATCGCTCCGGAGCCTTGGCGTCTGGATGCCTGATGTGGGGCTGCAGAGGGCACAGCCAGGGGCACCTACGGCCCATTTACTGCTAACACGTGGGTGCCTGCAGGGTTTGCCGGCAGCCTAGCTGGGTTTGTGAATCCCAGTGGGCCGGACTCTCGGATTCGGGTGCCTAAAGTGGGAGCTTTGTCATTCTAGTCCTAGCTTCACACCCCTGTCATCATGTTATAGCTGGGGAAACTCAGGCAGAATGAGGTGACGTTAGCTGCCCTGAGTCACACAGTTGGCTAGAAGCAGGAAACCAAGTCTCCAGAGTCCCAGTTCAGTGCCCTGTCTTCTCCACCACGTCCAGTTGTAATTGACAATGGCACCTACGGGTGTGAGCTGCCCAACTCCCATTCACTGCCTATAGGTTTGGGGTTCTTATCATCGGCTTCTAATGGGAAAACCCAGACCGTACATTTACAGACAAACCAACATCCTGAGAATTCCTTCCACTCCCAGGGGATGTTTTCCACCAGTTCCTTTACCTTTTCTAGGAGCCCCTAATTATTGTGGATCTTACACCAAAAGCATCATGCAATAAAAGAACTAAACTAAGTCTTCTCTTTCTGTTGTCTCTGTTGTCAGAACTCCCGTTATCTGTCCCCTTCATGTCTGGTGTGTGGAATAAATGTGCAAGGCTTGTCTACAAATCGACGTTGCACCACTTTACCTATACCTGCCTATCCCTGCCTGTGACAGGGCCATGTGCCTGTGCACTGGAGAGCCGGGGGCCAAGCCAGCCCGGATTTGAGAAGGGTCCCCACCTGAGGGGAATCAGGCCATTTCCAATAAAGGGCAGAAGGGGCTAGGGAAAGAGGCAAACTCAAGAGGGTGAAGTGAGACTTCAGAGAGTTAGAGAGGTTCCTGCAGGGAAAACCCTGAGACCAGGGAAATTCCTCCATTATATGGGGAATGAAGAAGGGAAACTGAGGTGAGGGGCTGTGTTCTGGGCTGCCCTGAGTCCTGTGGCGACGAAAGAGGAAAGGAAACAGAACGCCTGGTCTGTGGTAGCCAAAAAGCCTCCCAGCAAGTTTTCATTGGGGTTTTTATTCTTTCTCCTTCCCTGTTTACAACAACTCTAAGTGATTAAATTCTTGCGCATAGGAGGAGCGTACAGTGTACAACAACATGAGATAACAAACCCATATCTTGTGCACGTGAAAGCAAGCAGCGAGGGTGATGATCAGGCCAGCCAATAAGTTTCCTAATCACAGACGCTGGGGTGAAGGCCACTCCGGCCTCGTAGCCACGGGCACAGTGTGCCGCACCCGTGGGCTGACGATTCGGGAGCTATGCGTCCCTACATCCCCCCCTTTTCTATTTTATATGCGGTGTTTAGACGGAGCACCCTCGCAGGGTCGCATGCACAATGCCACCAGACTGGGTATACACTGAACAAAGCAGCAAAGTGAAACGCCAAGGACCAAGACTAAGACCCCATACTGTAAGAGGGTTTTTATCCACCCTGAGGGTAGCCATGACCAGATGTAATCCCACCAAGGAGGGGAAGCGTCCTGGCGGATGGCTTGAGCATAACGTTTCAGCATATCAATCTGCTGTTGTATGCGGTTACCATTATCAGTAAGATTGAAACAGCACATTTCCTTTACAGTCTCACACCCCAGATGTTGCTGCAGGAGTAAGTAATCGATAGCGGCTCGGTTATCCAGGATGGCGTGTCGTAATTCCTGTTGCTCCTCATTAAGGAGCCCAATGGCCTGCGCCTGATGCAATGGGAGAGTGAACTGCTTGGCAAGGGCCTTGGCAGACTGATGGAAGAAGGCGTGGCTTTCGATTGGGGAGGAAAAAATCGAGGCCACCGATTTGACCGCCTGGTCGGCCACCGCGTTACCCTCTGTCAATAGGCCCGGCAGCGTGGTGTGACTGCGAATATGTGCCACAAAAAGTGGGCTAGAGCGGGAGGAAAGGAGCTGTTGCAGGGTGAGAAAAAGGGCCAACAGATTGTCATCACAGGAGGGCGACACATAGGAACCTGGAAGAGACTTAAGAACATTAGTAACATAAAGACTATCAGTAATAAGATTAAAAGGGTCATCCTGGAAGCATCGGCAGGCCAGGATGACAGTGGCCAATTCTGCGCACTGGGGGGAACGCTGAGGCAGGGTAAAGCGGACTTGCCAAGTGCCCTGCTCCTGCCAGCTGACCGCACCCCGCGTTGGGCCGCCGTCTGTGAAGAGGGTAAGTGCATCCTCAATGGGGACGGTTGACAAAGACGGCCGGAGGTGAAGGTAACGTTGATGCAGGAGCGAGAGACGGGGGTCAGGGGAATGTGATATTTCATTTCCCCGACATAGTCGGCAAGAGACAACTGGAGGGTGGCACTGCAAGAGACAGCGCGTTCCCAGTCTTTAGCCGGGATGGGGACAATAATGGCAGCGGGGTCGCAACCCAAGAGGGTGCGGGATTGTTCTCGCACTTTAAAAATCAGCTCGGCGGCCTGTTGAGGGAGTGTCTGAATAGTATGCGGAGGGGAGTGGGTCAAATAAATCCATTCAATTAAACGAAGACGCGCTGCCGCCCCCTCCTGGGCGAGGACAGCTGTCGGTTGTGAAAGTGTGGGAAGCAAAATGGCAAAAAGGGGCTGTTCCCTTTCTCGGCGGTCGACCCACACTTGGGCCAGGGTCCGGTTAATGAGGGTGACCGCTTGGCGCTGTTCCTGGGAAACGGGAATAACATCCCCGGGGAGGCGGCCCTGCCGAAGGCCAGAAAAAAGAGGGGACAGCATGGAGGTAGTCAGAGGGCAAAAAGGGCGGATCCAATTGAGGGACCCTAATAACTGTTGGAGCTGTACAAACGTAAGAGGGTCGGGCAGCACCAGCTCGGGACAAACTGGGCGGGCATATGACTGGAGCATACGGTGACCGAGATACAAAAAGGGTGGCTGGCGCTGGACTTTGTCCGGTGCTATAACCAGGCTACACGCCGCAAGCTGGTGGCGCAGTTCGTCCAGCCAGTCATCAGGAAGGATGGGGTGAGCCACCAGGATGTCGTCCATATAGTGATAGATTAAAGCATCCGGGTGTGCTGCGCGGAAGGGCCGTAAGGCCTGCGCAACAAAATGCTGACACAAGGTGGGGCTGTTCAACATGCCTTGAGGGAGCACATTCCACTGATAGCGTGGAGTGGGCTGGGAATGATTTAAGACCGGAACGGTAAAGGCAAAACGCGCCCGGTCCTCAGGGTGCAGGGGGATGGTAAAAAAACAATCTTTTAAATCTATTACAAATAACCGGTAATCACAGGGGACAAGATTGGGATTGGGGGTACCACACTGCAGGGGACCCATAGGCTGTATAATTTTGTTAATGGCGCGAAGATCCTGCAGAAGGCGCCACTTGCCAGATTTCTTTTTAATAACAAACACGGGGGTATTAAAGGGGCTAGTGGACTCCTCCAAATGCCCTGCCTGTAGCTGGTCATTGACCAAGTGCTGGAGGGCCTCCAGCTTGTCCAGAGGAAGCGGCCACTGCGCAACCCATACGGGCTCGTCAGTGAGCCAACGGAGGGGGAGGGCCGTACGCCTAATCATCGATATGGATGGTGGCAGTGAACTGCGTTAATAAATCACGGCCCCACAGGTTGAGGTGGACGGGGAGAATAATAGGCCGGATACGGGCGCGGAGGGTGCCCTGGGGCGCCCTAACCTCCAACCATCGGGCACTCTGTTGCGAGTCCTGCGCCCCGCCCACACCCCAGACAGCCGGAGCCTGCTCCGTGGGCCAATGGGCGGGCCACTGCGTGGCGGCGATGACGGTGACGTCTGCCCCAGAGTTGATAACACCCTCGAACGGCTGATCGTTGAGGCAATAAATGCGTTTAGGTTGGGGTGATCCAATATCTTTAACAACCGCTGCCACTTGCGGGTGAACAGTGCGCTGGCCGGTGGACCCGAAGCCTCCGGTTCGGGGAACGTTTCTTCCCCCTGCCGGAAGGGAGTAGGGCACAAGTATGAGTTGCGCCCAGGCATCTCCCTGAAACAGCTGTTTCGGGAGATGACTCCACAGTTGAACATGGATAATTCCACCATAGTCCGAATCCACCACCCCAGGCACCACAAACAAGCCCTGCTTGCTGGCGGACGAGCGGGGTAGGACAAGGCCCACCATGCCCTCCGGCAGCGGGCCCTGGATCTGGGACGGCATGAGGAGGACCTCCCCGGGAAGAGTTATATCCATATTTTCCTGATTGACAAGGTCAATCCCCGCACTGCCCCTCGTGGCGGCCGGAACATTGTGTACGGAGAGGGGCGCAGCCTTGGGCCTCGGGCTGGTCACAGGCCCGACTACTAGTTTCCCGGGGGGTTATCTTGGCTGGCAGCCAAGACCCGGTTGTCACCCCCGGCTGAGCGACACTGCGCAGCCCAATGGTAGCCCTTTTTGCATTTTGGACACAGCGTGTGGGGCCTCTGGTCTGTTCGGGGCTTGTTTTTGTTTTTACACGCCCCCCCCCCCCAGGGGCCCGGCACTCCCGCCGAAAATGCCCGGGCTTTTGGCAGTTAAAGCAGTTCCCCTGAGGCTTCTGCCCCTTGTGCAGGGCAGCTGCCAGTAAGGCCATTTGATGGGTCTGAGTGCCCACGTCAGCACACGCCTGCAGCAATTCTGCCAGGGTATACCCCGGGCGCCCGACTACTGCCTGCATGGCACGGCGGCAATCTGCATTGGCATTTTCGTAAGCCAATTTTTGCATTAGCTCAGTCTGGGCCTCCGGGTTATCAATCTGCCTCTGGACTGCCTCTTGGAGGCGGTCAATAAACTGGTGGAATGGTTCGGCGGCACCTTGCCGAGTAACCGCAAAGGACTTAGAGGACTCGTCCGCAGCGGGGACCCTTCGAAACGCCCGACAGACACACTGGCCAATGATGGAATAAGCTGCCTGGGGCGTGCCCACCGCCTGCTCGGGGATGCCCGAAAACTGCCCCGCGCCATATAACTGCTCAGCGAGATAAGCCCCCCCCCACCTTGTGCTGCCGCCGCAAGTGCCTCTCGCTGGTACTCGCTATCCCACACAACGTATTGCGCGGGAGACAGCACCATGCGACACATGTCTTTCCAATCTTGGGGGAGCAAGAAGTAACTGTTTGACACACCTTCCAAGATCCCCAGGGTGAAAGTGGACCGCACCCCAGTCTCACGAACCGCCTTGCGGAGCTCGCGCAGAACCAAGTAGGGGAGAGCCTCCCAGTCCACGATCTGCCCCCCGTTACCATTATCCCGCCAAGAGACGGGGAACGCCTCGAACCCACAGCTGGATTCCTCATCGGTCAAGAGACCGGCCTCGCGCGCTCGCCGCACCGCCGCGGCGACAGCGCCCTCCCGCCCGACCGGTGGGCAGGGGGGCGCCGCCGCGGGCGGCGGCACAGGGAGGGTCAGCTGCGGGTAGGAGGGGGGTGGCCCATCACCTGGGGGCAAAAGGGAGACCGGCTTGGGACCATCGGGGCCGACCCCCTCCAGAGCCTCCTTACAACGCTGCCAGAGCAGCAGGTGCTGAACCGGGGCACGGGGTTCACTATACAAGGTGGTCCCAACCCGTATCCAATCAAGAAGCTGTAACGACCCGCAGTCCGGATACCAGGGGCACTGGCGATCTATTTCCCTTAGTAGGTCCTCAATATGAGCGACCGAGACAACGACACATGAACGCTGCCGTATAATCTTTTGTAACTCTCTTGCGTGCTCCTTCTGGGCACTGGAAAGTCCCCCCCCCATACTCACGAATCAGGGGCAGCAAACGGCCGCGGGGGTGCACTCGGCGTATCCAGCCGGTGAGCAGGGGGTTATCACGTCGGGGTCACCAGATGTGGCGACGAAAGAGGAAAGGAAACAGAACGCCTGGTCTGTGGTAGCCAAAAAGCCTCCCAGCGAGTTTTCATTGGGGTTTTTATTCTTTCTCCTTCCCTGTTTACAACAACTCTAAGTGATTAAATACTTGCGCATAGGAGGAGCGTACAGTGTACAACAACATGAGATAACAAACCCATATCTTGTGCACGTGAAAGCAAGCAGCGAGGGTGATGATCAGGCCAGCCAATAAGTTTCCTAATCACAGACGCTGGGATGAAGGCCACTCCGGCCTCGTAGCCACGGGCACAGTGTGCCGCACCCGTGGGCTGATGATTCGGGAGCTATGCGTCCCTACAGAGTCCTCCATGGGGTGCTGTGAGGTGTCCACTCGGATACACCAGTTAGATGCAATGATACTGATGTGACGGTGCTTCTGGTGGGATAGTTCATTCCCACATGGGAAGGGGAATAAGCGATCTATTGGCAAACTGTGTCTGCACAAGAGGGTGTAGCAGTATAACTATTTCCATAACTCATTCGCACCACTAACCAAAATAGTTATGCTGGTGCAAAATCTGTGTGGAGACTTTGTGTGAGTCCCTGTGAAAATACGTCCGTATGTTCCTGGCTTTGAAACAAACTCTGATAATCCAAGGGAAATGTCTTTTCCATTAACAGAATCATAGAAGACTAGGACTGGAAGGGACCTCAGCTGGTCATCTAGTCCAGTCCCCTGCACTCACGTCAGGACTACGTCATTACGAGATCATCCCTGACAGGTGTTTGTCTGAGCTGTTCTTAAAAGCCTCCAATGAGGGAGATTCCACAATCTTGTGAAGCAATTTAGTCCAGTGCTTAACCACATTGGCAGTTAGGATGTTTTTCCTTATGTCCAACCTATAGCACCCTTGCTGCAATTTAAGCCCATTGCTTCTTGTCTTATCCTAAGAGGTTAAAAAGAACAACTTTTCACCCTCCCTCTTTTAACAATCTTTTATGTACTTGAAAACTGTTATCGTGTCCCCTCCCAGTCTTCTCTTCTCCAGACTAAACAAACCTCATTTTTCAATCTTCCCTCATAGGTCCTCTTTTCTAGACCTTTAATCATTTTTGTTGCTCTTCTCTGGACTTTTTCCAATCTGTCCCCATCTTTCCTGAACAGGACACAATACTCCAGTGGAGGCCTTATCAGCATGGTATCGAGTGAAAGAATTGCTTCACATATCTTGCTTACAACACTACTGCTGATACAGCCCAGAATGATATTCAGGGTTTGTTTGTTTGTTTGTTTGTTTTCAACAGTGTACTGTTGTGCATCCTGTTTTTGTACACTGCCAGCTGCACATGCAAAATGTACTTGGAGCAAAGGGGCATTGGGGGCAGCAGAGGGTGAGGAATGGGAAAGGGGCAGCTCTATTATAGCATGGGGGCACTAGAGATAGCAGAGGAGGAAGGCTGGGAAAGGGGGGGGCTATACTGTGTATTGGGCATTGGGGGATGCAAAGGTTAATGTGGCCAATGTTTTATGTATCCTTCCTAATGATCACTACATGGCAGGATTAATCTTCCTTAAAGTGATGAAGAGTCAATCAACTTGCAATTAAAAACTTAAGAAGCAGTGTGAGAAGATTCAGCTCTCTCATGGTATTCTAGCCAATGTGCAGGTTAGACATGTTTCCCTCGAAGAGTTGAGCAAGACGTTCCTTGGGGACGCTAGCCCCCAGCCCTGCCCCTTCTGCCTGATGCCCCGCCCCTCTCCACCCCTTCCCTTGCCCCTTCCACCCCCCATACCCTACCAGAGCCCTGAACCCCCTCTCCCCCCCGCAGTCACTGACCCCGCCTCCCCAGCCCCAGCCCCCCCAGCCCTAAAGCACTGAGCACTGTGGCCCCAGAGCCCCCAGCCCCGGAGTGCTGGGCACTGTATCCCCAAAGCCTGGGGCACCCCAGTGCTTGGCAGTCCTAGCCGCCTCAAGTCCCAGCCGCAGGTTCTAGCCCCAGCCCCAGCATGCTTCCCGGAAGACGAGCAGCCTGCCAGGGCTGGTGAGGCCAAGGGGGAAGCGGCAAGCTGGAGGGGGCCTCAGGGTGGAGCATGGGCAGGGCCATGCTGGGCTGTTTCGGGAGGCTTAGTATCCCCCAACCTATGATACGCCCCACCCAGGCCTCTCAGCAATGTTTTTGCCAGAGATCAATTAAAAAACAAACAAACAAACCCTTTTTTCAAAAATACAATTATGTGAGCCACAAATATTGTACATTTGGACATTATGAACAACAAAGCTTTGACACAAAATTATTCAGACTGGGGATAAATTGGATTGAGACCTTACTGCATGGTTAGGGGGCAAATTATGGTAGGAGAGGACTGGGAATTATAACTATCTCCTAGTTGGTTTTGCATTCAGAAATAAGTGGATATTTGTATCCTTCTGTAAATGCTGGAATAAAACTTCCCTTCAGGGCAAGAAGTGACAGTCGGTCAAAAACTTCATGCTGAAAAAGGAAAGTTTTGGAGTCAAGTTGTAGAATATATTGCAATACACACACCTGAAATGATTATATTGACTGCACCCAAACTGGCCCATGATTTGGCTAGTGTGAATGTAGAACACTGTCCTTTACTGGATGGAATCAGTGCTATTCCTTGCTTCTCAAACTCTAACAGACCAAATACACACATATAGTTCTGGACAGGGCAGGATTAACACAGGTGTTATAGAGGCCTCAGGCTAAGGGGGACCCCACAAAAATAAATCCATCATTATATACAATTCAGTGGTCACCAAACCGTCGATTGCGATCGACTGGTCGATCCTGGAACCTCTGCCAGTCGATCACGATCTCCGGGCCGCTAAAAGTCCAGCAGCGCAGCAGGGCTCAGGCAGGCTGCATGCAAGACGTGGCCCCACGCCGCTCCCGTTGGCCAGGAACCGTCCCAGGACAGAATCCCCTCCTGAACCCAAACTCCATCCCAGAAATGAAACTGATATTACAGCTGTTCTAAGGCAAGAAGTAGGCTATTTTGAATTAACTTAACTATATTCTACATGTTTTAAGACTGAAATGTAACCACAGAACAGCTTTATATTACTTAAAATGCAAGATTTTATATATATATATATATATATATATATATATAATGAATCAGAAAAGACATTCCCCATTTGACAGAGGGTATGAGGCACAGGGTCATGTTAACAGACATGGAACGGAGCCTCAGTAGCTATTCTAGGTTGTCATTCTAGTTACTGGGCAGATGGAAGTAAGTGAATGCAGTGGGGAGAGAAAATGGACTGAATAACCTGGATCCTGCTACCTGAAATGCTCATAGACTCATAGACTTTAAGGTCAGAATGGACTATTATGATCATCTAGTCTGACCTCCTGCACAACGCAGGCCACAGAATCTCACCCACCCACTCCTGTAACAAACCCTAACCTATGTCTGAGTTATTGAAGTCCTCAAATCGTGGTTTAAAGACCTCAAGGTGCACAGAATCCTCCAGCAAGTGACCCGTGCCCCAAGCTGCAGAGGAAGGCGAAAAACTTGCAGGACCTCTGCCAATCTGCCCTGGAGGAAAATTCCTTCCCAACCCCAAATATGGCAATCAGTTAAACCCTGAGCATGTGGGCAAGACTCACCAGCCAGCCCCCAGGAAAGAATTATCTGTAGTAACTCAGATCCCATCCCATCTAACATCCCATCACAAGCCATTGCTGCATGAGCAGGTGACAGCAGAGACCCCAGCTGCTTACAGACCTGCCTTAGAGGTAAATCAACCTTTTCCTCTCTGCTCCTCGAATCTTGAGGCGTTCAAAGTAGTAACTAATCTTGTAGGAATCCAAGGGGAACTGGGGACTGATTTCTCTCAAACTCCCAAACCAAAGCAAAATGACTGAATTTAGGAATAGGAAAGACCTGTCAGGTCACGTGTA